TGAATGGGACTCCAATCCACAGGATGCCCTTTCTCTCAGAGGTTGTACAGCCACAGATCTAGAGCTGGAGGGACCTCAGAGGCCACTCAGTCCAACCCCTCTTTTTACAAATGAGGAAATTGAGACCTAGGGTGGTTAAGGGTCCAAGGCCATGCAGTTAGTAGCAGAAGCAGGATTTGAACTCAGGTCCTGTGACTCAAAGCCCAGAACTGTACCAGGCAGCCCCCAGCTTTGTCACATGCAAAAGAAAATGGAAAAATAAATGCCCACATCCTAGCCCTAAAGGGTTATCCAAGTCATTAGTCCAAAATAGGGTGCTCAGCAGCTTTACCCAACAGGTAACAGGTTTAGGGGTTAGTCAGGTTTTAGGGGTGAACTTCCTCATCGCTTTCTCATGGTGGAATGATTTTCAATCCATAGACTGAGGAGTTCTCCAAAGGTGGAATTTTATGAGATGGCTAAAGGACCCCAATTCTCTCTTCCATTTTAAAGCTGGAGCTCTCTCCATCTCTGTCTTTTCCTGTCCCTGTCTCCCCCTTCCTTTCTCCATGTGCCTCTCTCTGCCTCTGACTCTCTTTCTCTCTTGAATTCTCTCCCTGCTTCTAAATCTCTCGTCTGCAGACCTCTGTGTCTGGAGCACAGGACTCATGTCTTTGGATTATGCCGTGCCAGGTCTTTGCTATCCCCTCTGTCACCAACACAGTCCTGCCAACTTAATAGTACTCCAAAATGCTCATAAAATTCAATTGCATTAAATTGAAATATAATTCTTTTGCCTGTTGTGCCTCATACTAAAAGATACACTCTGTGTCAAAAATGGAAGAACATTTCATAATTTCTCCTCAAAGGGATGAATGAGAAGTTGCTAGCTTTGTTTTCAGCATCTTCTCCAAAGCTACAAGACACATTATTTCAGGGGACATTGGTTCGTGTTGCTTTGCTGTGCTCACCATAAACTTTATACAGCAGACCATCCTAAAGACAAACAGTGTACATGGGGGGATTTGTGGCAGAGAAGACAGATGTCCAAGATGTCTATGAAGACCTTGACTATGATCCTGGCATTTGTGAGATCACATTCTTTGATAATTGGCTACTTCAATGTGGAAATAGGTAGAGGGAGGTCAAAGAAAACCAGAAATGAAACCGATTAAAGATTTGCAGACTGGAGAGGAGTAAGCTTCATGTGCATCACCAATACTTTCCTCAAGAAGAGAGAAAGAAGGTGTTAGAGCTAGAGGACACTGAATGACTCTATAACAAAGCAGGAAGTGTCACCTCAGAATCATCTGTGTGCTGGCTATATCAGATCACCAGCCAGTGAGAACAAAGGTAAAAAAGCAATCTCCAAATCAGAAGAAAGGCTAAAGACGTGTGAAGTGATGGTGACTCCAGCCCATCCTGCTCAAATAAACTGCTGGCTTGCAAAAACACAAAATAAGCCAAGGCAAAGGCATGGACTTTTTGGAACCATTTCATGTAGGTGCTTACATGATATAGTATGGGTGTTACAACAAGGAGGGTGTTAGAGCCCAGAAACTGCCTTCTCTTGCTGAGTGAATGGAGAGAGGGAATTGCTAAAAGCAATATTGGCTTAGAGCACCCACTCATTTGCCAGGAGGATGACGGAAGAATCCCTCCCATGTCACCCCACAACAGACTGAAAAGTGATTAAGGAAGTGTGACCTCCATACCACTAAAGCCCGAACATCTGCAAGAGGGTTTGTAGGGGACACCGGAAGGCAGACAGCAAGCACAGAATTTGGAACAGATCGGCCTGCCAGCATTCTCACAGCAATCTCTGCATATTGGGAAAAAAACAAGTAGAACCATCACGTTTGGACTCTGCATTTTCAAGATGTAATGCGAGGAAGTACAATGACATTTGGGAAGATGAGGTCAGGAACAGCAGTTGGATTTGACCAAGACCATACAGAAGTGAAGGTGATAGAATTCTAAAGGAACTTGGAGACTGATGCTGAAGGGGTCTCAAAAAATGCAAAGATTGCAAAGGAATGAAAACCATCATGGATGGTGCAATTTACTAGCATAAAAAGTGACTAGGAAGCTATGTGACTCCCATGTCACCATGGCTAGGAAAGAAGCATGTGACTCCCATGTCACCATGGCTAGGAAGGAAGTGTGTGACTCCCATGTCACCATGGCTAGGAAGGAAGTGTGTGACTCCCATGTCACCATGGCTACAAAGGAAGTATGTGACTCCCATGTCACCATGGCTAAGAAGGAAGTGTGTGTGACTCCCATGTCACTGTAACTAGGAAGATGTGTGACTGCCACGTTGCCATGGCTAGGAAGGAAGATGTGTGACTGCCAACCCATGTGCCTACTTTCCTATTTCTAGAAAATGTTCTTGAAAATGTCACACACATTCACCTAAAGCATCCTTAAAGAGAACATAAGAAGGGAGCAAATAAACTTTGTCAGTTGATTTTCTTCAGTTGATCAAATCTGCTTCACTTTATTTCAACTCAGGTCTCATTCAGGTAAGCACCTACTCTGTTCAAAGAGAAGAAGCATCGTGGCAGAACAGATAGAGGGACATGCTGGGAGTTAGAACTACCTAGTTCAAGTAGTTCAAGTCTCTAACATGTGCTGACTGTGTGGTCTTGGGTAAGTCCCTTAGCTTCTTAATGCCCCAGGCAACATTCTAAGTTGTAGATCAGTTGTTGATCTGTTTTGGTAGAGGGAATTCCTCATTGGGAGCTCCCTTGCACGATGTGATTTACCAAATAGAGCACTAGATATGGAATTGGGAAGATGTTGGTTCAAATCCCACTGCAGACCACACCTACGTGATACTGAGTAAGAGATATCACTTCTATTTCCTAAACTATAAAATGGAAGAGTTGGACTCAATGAATTCTAAAGTTAAGGTTCAAAATATGTGATTCTACAATCCATTCACACCATATATATCAAGTAGATGGAAATGCATAATAACTAGACATTCAGTTGCATGGAAAAAAATATAAACGCCTTGGACAGGAGTTGCTAATGTACAATTAATTTGGCTCAGAATTAAGAGTTATTAATAATTATTCCTTCTGTGTGGTGATTTAAGGCTTACAGAATGGTGTCCTCACAAGAACCCTGTGAGGTAAATATTTAAGTGTCATTATCTCCATTCTAAAGACGAGGAAATTGAGTACCAGTGAATGGACCACAATCACTCAGCTAGTGAGTAAAATGGGCCTCCCTGCAGGACCCCAGTACAACAGGGAGATTTGGGTCAAATTACACTTGGGAAATGGTTTCATGCTTTTGATGTCCCAGGCTTCATGCTGCTGTCAAAGCCCATTTCTTGAACATCAGCATTCTCCTGGTAATGCTTTCCAGCTGCAAGTCTGAGAACCCCATGATCTTGGGAGGATTCAAGTGAGAAAGAACCAAAGGGCAGTGGAAAGCTGAGTGACACACCTCAGGCAATGGCTTCTTGATACCAATAGAAACATATATGTGAGAAGTGGAGTGAAGGAAATGATGAAAAACTCTGGTGACCAGAGGAGGTGGTGGGCTAGTCACTTAGCAAGAATGGAAGGCAACAGGTAAGACAGCTCCAGGGATACCACTGAATGTGACAGGTCTGTAGCGTGTTGGATGGATCTTTGCTAGATGATTTGAGGAAAAACAAGGACAGGAATCATAGGATGAGAAAGTGTGGAAAGATTGCTATCTGTACTGGTGGAGGGTGTGTCCACATGAAGGAAATCACAGATCTAATAAAGTAATTATTACAATATTCTGAATGCACCAAGGAGTGAAAGCCATGTCTCTCAACATTCCTTATTAGATTTCCCCTGGAAAAAGTCATGTCCTTTTAGTACAAGGTATTTCTCCAAGTCAGTCATATTTATTCCTAATGGCCTTGGGCTTGACTAGATTTGAGACTAGGTTGGTATCTTTCTATTCTGCAGGGCTTAAAGAGCAAGAAGTGGGAAGAAGGAAGCACAGTGACATCCACTCTGGCTGTACATACATACAAATGAATGCCAACAAAGGTCTTTGATTCATTTTTAGCTTTTACGTGACATGGTGGTCCAGGGAAGACTGAAGATAATTTCTTTTTAAACACAGACCTAATTATTCTTTGATGCTCTGAACCAACCTATTAAACACAAGAGATGATTTTTGAAGCTTCCTTCACCTTGGGAAGATAGCTACATTTTTTTAAAGTAAGTGATTCAAGCAGCTTCAAAGCACGGGACTTTACCAAGAATCCCCAAACATTACTGGAGAGTTGGGTGGGAGCTCAGAGATAATCCAGTTCAAACTTCTCAAGGTAAAAATGAGGTGCCTGAGACTTAGAAGGAATGATGTGTCCAAAGTCACAAAGCTGGTCATTTGCAAAGGGACCAGATCTCAGGTCTTCTAGGGTCTCAGCTTTGGATGTGACCTCAGAGGCGTCTCACCCCAAACAGTGTTGAGCCGAGCAATCTTAGTGCTGGCACAAAGTGATATTTGGGGAATGAGGAAGGGGCCTTTTGGGGTTGGCAATTTTATACTGTCACTTTAAAGTATATTTTAAGGTTATAGTAACAAAAAAAAACACAAGAAAAGAGCATGTGGAGGTTGTCCTAAAGCCCTTGACCCAGGAAGACTCCTCCTCCCAAGACTTTTGGGCTGGTGCTTCAGCCTCCCCACCCTTCCCCTTTGCAGGGGGCTCCTCCCTGGCTGCTCTGGCACACTGGGTGAAGGAGCCCTCGTTGCCCCACACAGGTGACTGTTTAGACAGAGCTGGCTAATGCAAAGACTCTGAGCCAGGGACCAGCTTATCGGGGGGCTCAGCTCCTCCAAACAGAGCTGAGATCACTGGCCTGGACACCAGCGACCAGAAGAGCTTCCTTTCTTCATGGTGACCTGACTGGCTTGGGTTTCAGGCTCACTGCCCTGCCCCTACTAGGCAAGGCTGACTAGTCCCTTACAGCCACAGATACTCTACACAGAGCAAAAGCATGAGACAGGTGGGGAGCTTCGCTTACTTTTACAGGTGGGGATCTTGTTACTCCACGTTCCATCTTTCAGACACTCGATCTGGAATGTGTCCATCTCTAGGTTGTCCTGGGGGTGATAGTGGAGAGAACACAAATGGGGTGGGGAAAGGGTGAATGTCATAAATAACTTAGGTTGAACCTCAAACCCTCCCTTGTAAGACAATGGGGTATCACGGGTAGAGCGCTGGACCTAGTGTCGGGGAGGCTGTGTTCAAATCCTGCTTCAGGCACCTACTAGCTGTGTGACCTTGGGTAAGTCACCCTCTCTGGGCCTCATTTCCCTCATCTGTAAAATTAGGGGGTTGGATTTGGTGACCTCTAAGGCCCTTCTACTTCTATGATCTCATGGTATTTTTGAGCTTGACTGGAGAATATTCCAGCCATGGAGCTCAAAAGAGCCTTCCAAAGGAAGAAACAAATGCCAGGGCTCAGATGGGTGAGTGCAAATGGAGGATGAAGGACTTCAATGTGGAGGAGATTCTAGAATTCATCTAGTCCAAACTTCTCACTTTAGAGAGGAAGAAACTGAAAGTGAGAAAGACTGTGACTTGTCCAAGGCCATGTAACTAGTGTCAGAGGTAGAATTTGAACCCAGATCAACTTGACTCTAAATCCAGTGGTCTTCCCATCGCTTTACCAGGCTTTAGGGGAAATGGAGGTGCTTCCCCCCAGCACACTAAGCCATGGCTTCACAGAATCGTTTCATACAAAGCCATACACTAAACACTTTGTGGCTTGGAAATGGGGGAGATAAGCCTGTCCCCTGACGTAAGGTGACCAGGGCAGGATGCACACACCTTGGACTCTCATGGAAAGTTGAAGAGGGAATGGCTATGGCCAACTACTCTTGAACACTTGGCTCCCTGGCTTGGTACTTTTCCAATCCTACCTAATAGAGGTTGCCTGACCCTGTTTGTATGACTGCAGAATCCCTATCTCTTGACTGTGGCCACGTCTACCACATCTGATTCTGGAGACCATCCATGTCCATCCCTCCATCCAGGCAGGAGGCCCCCTACCTTGATTACTTTGTAGCCAGTATAACAGCTGATGAGCACTTGGTCTTTGAAGGTATATTTAGCCTGCAAGGGATCGAGTTTCCATTGGCAGGGGGCTGCAAGGCGGGGCACGGGTTCCCTGGTGGTAGGCAGAGAGACAGAAGAGAAATGAAGAGTCTAGCCAGTGAAAAACAGCATACAAACATGGTGGGAGCTGTCAGTTTCTATGAATGACTGAGTGAATGAGAGAAAAAGCATTTACTAAGTGCTTCATCTATGCCAGACATTGTGCTGGAGGCTGTGGCTACAAGTATAAAGATGATTCAGTCCCAGTCCTCAAGGAACTTGCATTTTATAAGGGGATACAACACATGTAGAGGAATGTGGCCAGGGAACAAGGGACCCAGAATGAATAAATGAATGAGTGAAAAATATTTATTAAACTCCAAATATGTGCCAGACACTATGCTAGGGGCTGGGGACACAGATACAGAAGTGAGTTAGTCCCTGTCCTCTAGAAGCTTATGTACTTTTTAAAAAACTTTTTTAGCAGTTGGGGTTAAGTGACTTGCCCAGGGTCACACAGCTAGTAAGTGTCAAATGATTGGTCTGAGGCTGGATTTGAACTCAAGTCCTCCTGACTTCAGGGCTGGTGCTCTATCCACTGCGCCACCTAGCTGCCCCTGAAGCTTACTTTCCAGTAGAGGAATACCACACAAATAAGGGAGGGATGGCCTGGGAAAGGAGTTTGGATCCGGGGAGCCACAGGGATAGTGAGTAGAGACACAAGGGAGTAGATCAGCATGCCTTTTCTAGTAGCAATGGCAGAACTGATTTAGCTGTACTGTCCAGAGTAAGAGCAAAAGATGGAAGGTGTGGAGGGAGGGTTTGAATAGTGCCAGGGGAGATGGCAAGATGTCCATTGTGGAGTAGCCAACGGAATCTTGGTAGATCCCTGGATAGAATGTGAAGCATGGTCTGGGGCCAACCAATTATAGTGGGTTAAACGAGCTTGCACTGACTCTCACCCATAGATCTATGACCCCAGGTCACAATAACCAGTGATATATGTCCCAGGCTCAACTTGAAATTTCCTCTTATCTCCTCTCATATCACTCAGGAGGTGATAAGAGTAACACTGAGCCATGTCTTGAGAATTTGATTTTATTTCATTTTCATCCAATCCAGTTTTTAAAGGCATTTATGAACAGCTTTATTATGTGTCAGATTCTGTGCTAAGTGCTTGGAAGACAAAAAACAAACAAAAAAGAATTCTCACTCTTAAGGTATTTACATTCTCTTGGAAGGAATACACACACTCTTCAAACATATAAGTAGGCGAATAACCTGAGAGGCAGTGTGGCATAGTGAATAGTGGGTCAATGCCACAGTCAAGGAGATCTGAGTTCAAGTCTTGTCTCAAGTATGTCAAGTCACATACACATGAGTCTAGAAGAAGGGGAAGGTTGTTGGGTATAGGGAAAATAATGAGTTCTGTCTTTAGCTTGTTGAGGTTAGGTGCCTATGGGCCATCCAGGTGGAGACGTCCAACTTGTAGCTGGTGATACTAGGATTAGGGTGTGTGTACAGATCTGAGAGTCTTCTGCATAGACATGGTAATTGAACCCTTGGGAACTGATGAAATCACCAAGAAAGAGTGTGTTAAGGGAGAAGAAAAGACCAAAGGCAGAGCCTTGGGAGACACCCGTGATTGTTGGGGGAAATGTCTATCACTGCTCTGCTGCTATACAAAGGCTTGAGAAAGAGATGCTCTGCATCTGAAGACCCTCACTTAGAGCCGCCTTCTTGTGGTGCATTAGTAGGGGCTGCAGGAAAAAGAGGAAGATGCCTGTTGTATGTGGCACCTCCTGTAGCAGGCTGGCTGAGCTGTCCATCAGCACCAGGACAGTCCAGTGTCCCTGGTATTGTAATCAATCAAAACCATCTCTAACTTGATGTAGTTCATCTAGCCACTGACATTGACGAGCACAGCAAGAGTCTCCCCTCCTCCTTCCACATTTTAAAGTGTCCTGTAACAATCTCTGGGGATTTCTTATTAGAAAATATCTATATGTGATTCTGGCGTCAGTGGAGGCAGATGGGGCACGTATATGGGAGGGAAAGTCTTTCATGTCACACCTTTGCCTTCCTCTTGGAATTTCCCTTGTATATGTTTGTTACTAAATGTTCTCTTTACATTTTAAGTTCCTCCAACAGAATGTAACCTTCATAAGAATAAGGATTGTTTCAGTTTTATCTTTACATGCCCAAGACCAGGAAGAGTGCCTGACACAAGGTGATTACTTAATAGATACTCATTGATGACTTGATGAATGGATACATGACAATTCAAAAGAAATACTTTTTCCATTTTTATCCTGGTCTATCCAGGGCTTACTTACCTGGCACAGAGTTCTTATCATTATCATCATCACCACCACCACCACCACCACCACTATCACCCGGTATAGAGGATGTTTAATAAATGCTGAATCGAATTAAAATGTATTGACACTGAAATCTGGGAACAAGCCAGAAAAGGCTAGACTTCCTCATGTCTCTCCACTCCTTCTTCCTAGAGTAGCTCCGTACTTGAATAAATAGCTCAGACTGCCCTGCAATGGGCAGTTCAGTGCAGGTTCTAGCCAGCATGAAGCCAGCTTTTGGAAGCTAGGAAATGAGGTGAAGTTTGCCAGGCCATCTAGTCCTATGGCATCCCAACCCAGGCCAACCCCAGGGCTGGGGTTTCTGATCTAAGATGGCTAATAGTTGTATAAATTCTCTGAGTAAAACACATCCTTATCCCCAGGACTGTGGTAAGGTGGAACTCTGTGCAATCATGGGAACAGACCTCAGAGATAATGGAATTTAGTTTACTCATTTTGCAAAGGAGGAAACTGGGCCACAGAAAGGGATAGTAACTTTCCCAAGGTCAGTCAATCAGTCAATAGCCATTGATTAGGCAGCTGCTATGTGCCAGGAACTGTGCTAACTGCTGGAGATAGAAAGACCAAAGAAATTCCTGCTCTTTGAGGAGCTCACAATGGAATGTGGGAGACAATGTGCAAATAACTATTTACATACAAGTCATATACTGGATAAAAAGGAAATAAACATAGGGAAGGCACTAGAATTAAGAGGGATTGGGAAAGACTTCCAGTAGAAGGTGAGATTTTAGCTGGGACTTGAAGGAAGCCAAGAGAGAGATACAGAATGAGAGCATTCTAGGCATGAGGGACAGCTAGAGAGAATGCCCAGAGCTTGGAGCCTGGAGCCTGGAGCCTAGAGTATCTTGTTTGAGGAATAGTATGGGGTCCAGTGGCATTGCGTCAAAGGGTGTGTGTGTGTGTGTGTGTGTGTGTGAGTCTCAGATGTAAGAAGAAAGGAAAGGGGAGAGGACAGATTAGGAAAGGCTTTGAATGTCAAACATAGGATTTTATATTTGATCCTGGAAGAGATAAGGAGCCATTAGAATTTCCTGAGTAGGATGGTAATGTTACTAGATTTGACTTTATGAAAATCCCTTTGGAGGCTGAAGGGAGGATGGATTGGAGCCAGGAGAGAGGTGAGGCAGGCAGACCTCCCACCAGGACACTGGAGTAATCCAGGCATGAGGTTATGAGGGCCTGCACTGGAGTACCAGTGTCAGAGGAGAGAAGGGGGAAGATTGGAGAGATGTTATTGATCAGATTTGGCAACAGATTGGCTATGGGGAGGGGGTGAGAGATAGTGAGGAGTGTTAGATAACACCTTGGTTGTGAGCCTGGGGGACTGGGGGATGGAGGTGCCTTTGACAGTAATAGGAAAGGCAGGCCCTTGGAAGGGGTGACTCAGTCAGCAAGTGGCAGAGCTGGGATAAGAAGGCAGGTGTCCTGCCCTGGAGCCCCCGCAGGCTCTCTGCTCCCAGGACTCTGAGAGGGAAGGGAAGGGCAGTGAAGGAGGGCCTCATTACCTGCAGATGTGTAGGAAAGCCTCCAGCCTCCATTCTCCCCTGAGTTGTCACTGTGGAACAGAATCTGGACGCTGTTGCTCTGGGTGTCGATGCGTCCCGGGGATTTCTCTCCACAGTAAGGGCCAAACTCTTTCTGCCCAGCCTTAATCTGCCCAGGGACAAAGAGAGAGAAAGGGGGCAGGATTATGAGGGGGCTGGTACCATGCCCAGAGCCCTTCTCTTGCTCTCTCAGGTTGAGGGCAGTTGGGATCTGGATTCCTTCCTGTATTCCTGTACTTGCCCCTCTTCCATGTGAGCAGTGTGCTCGGTGCAGGGACACAAGGCCAGATAACCAAAAGTCCCTGACCTAAAGGGGGTGGTGGTGGTGGTGTGCTTTACAATATCTAGGCAGAGAAGCAGGAGCAAGCTAATTTGAGGAGGGAGAGAGGACCAATACCATGGGCTGAGGAGAAGAGGGAGGTCAGCAGAGGCTTCACCAGCACCAAGATGAAGCCTAGAAGGAAGCCAAGGATTCCAAAAGGTGGAGGTGAGGAGGCAGTGCATTCCAGGTAGGGGGCTCAGCCTGGATAAAAGGACAGAAAGAAGTAGAGGATTCAGTGGGGAGTTTGAGCATCCAAAAGTCAGCTCGGCTGGCTTGGAGAGTGAGTAATGTAGAATGATATGAAGGAAGTCTGAAAAGCTGAGCGGGACCAGCCTGAGAAGGGTTTTAAATGCCAACTTGAGGAGCACGTATTTTATGCCAGAGGCAATAGAGAGCCATGAAAGATACTTGCATAGGAGAGTGCCTTCCATCTATGAAGGGCATCCTTGAAACCATTTGGTTACTTCTACACCCCTAAAAGATGGGTTTTTGTTCCAGCCCTTACTGCAGGGAGGGAGAGGAGAGGCCACGAGGCCATGTCTGGACAGAAGAGATTGCGCAGGCAGATAACAGATGAGCTAAGGAAGAGCTAGTCTGAAGGGCTTACTCCTTCCTAAACTCTCTGAGGCATGTGGATGCCATAGCTTCAAGGCAGGCTCAGGGATTAAGTCTGTGCTTCCTTAACCTGGGATCCTAACGGATTTTCCCAGGATTCCTTGGACAGGCTCTTCTACTTTCTGGACCAACTCTGGTTGCTGTCATTACAGAATCAGAGATTTAGAGCAGGATGGGACTCAAGCGTGCTCCTAGTCCACTCTTCTCATTTTACATATTAGGAAACTGAGGCCCAGAGAAGTTAGATGACTCATCCAAGGTCACACAGCTAGTGAGTGACAGAGCCAGGATGTGATCCCAGGTCCCTTAATTCTGGAAAGAGGGCTCTTTCCACTGTACGATGATGCCCTCTTTGTGCACATCACAAGACTCCTGACACCCTTCTGTGTCCTGCCCAAAGAATGGGTCATATTACAGTCTCCATTTTCCAGAAGGAAATGACACTTAGCTAAAATATAGGGTGTCTCAGGTCAATAGGGAACCCAGTGGTGTCAGCTGTAGATTGGCCACAGATTCCCAGAGGACACTGAACCCAGAATTTAACTGTCCTCTTTCCTAAGGTGACTGGACTGGGAAAATCATGCTGTGGAAATCAACAATCCATTGGGCATGACAGCATTGCTGCTAGGACCTTCCTCCAGGGCATGGGCTCACAGGCATTCCCCAGGGATGGTGATGGCTTTCCATGAGCTACCTTTTTTGTGTCCCGATTCCCTTTGTGACTCCTTAGCTCCCCATGGGGGTGCACTGGACTGCTTTAGGATTTCTCTGGGGCTTTCCACCATGCCTTCCTTCTCCAGAAAACTCATCAATGGAATCTCATAATCCTGTAACGTCAGCTTTGAGTCCTCACCTCTCATCAGTCTTCTCTGCCCCTCTGATTGGACCCTCAGAATGGAGGGCAGGGCTGTGGGCTTCAGGGATTCTGCTGAAAGAGGAGGCTCAGCACAGCCTCATGGCTTTTGGACTTCTTTGGAGCTCTCTCTCACACCCCTGCCCCAGGTACCTCCTTTCTGCTTTTCCCTGTTCCAGTGTAAGCTCCCTGAGGGCAGGGACTGTTTCTGTTTCTATTTGCACTTGTACACCCAGTGTCAGCACGACATCTGGCACGTAGGAGGTATTTAATTATTGACTGATTGACTAGGTGATCTTTAGACTTTGCAGGTCTACATCTACGAGCCTCTAGTCCCAGAGCACAGACCCACAGTGGGTCTGTGTCCACAGAACAGGACTTCTCCAGAGCAGCCTTGACTAGCTCTTATGGACACCCATCCCAGGACCCTGAACCCTAAGGTGATATCACAGACATGCCCAAGGTCACGCAGCTAGTTGCGGCCAGGCTGGGAATCACACCCAAGTCCAAGCCGCTCCCCCTTTGCGGTGCCTGAGCGTGCCTTTGGCCCCCTTCTCCCAGCCATGCTCACCTTGATGTAATCATAGGGACAGGACACCTCGGGGTGGTCTTCAACATCAAAGCTTTCCTCAAACTGGAGAGTGATGACAAAACCATCCTCCAGTTTGATTCTGTAGAGACAGTCAGAGCTCTTGGGGTACGGGCCGGGGAAGTCGGCGCTGCTGATCACACCCGTCCTCTGGGTGAAGAGGTTATCACTGCACTCCACTGTTCAAATACACCCACATACACATGAGCCACACACCACATGAGACAGGCCTGAGGAGCCCCAGTCCCTCCCATCCCCGCATGCCCACTGGCAGCTTCCTTGGTATGTGGACGACCATAAGAGAGTAAGGCAAGAAGAGCGTATGGGACATATGAGCAGAGCGTTGCAGAGTCCAAAGTCGTCTCACCTAGGGTTCCAGGGCAGGGAAAGGCTAGGTCACTTTGAAGGGACTTGCCCAGATGACTCAGGAAGTGTTGGAGGTGGGCTAGAATCTATACTGATCTGTCTGACATCTTCTATACCCACAGGAAAACTGAAGCTCGTTGAGGGAGGGGATCATGACTCGTTTTTGTCTATACCCCCAGCTCTTAGCTGGGGTCCAAGAGGGGCTTTGTAGGGGCTTGCTGGACCAGCTTCAACTGAGCGTATGGAGAATAGATGCTCAGCTGAGGACACCAAAGGCCCATGAAGCATTGGAGGCACTGAGGAAGATCCATTAATAACCGAGGTCCCTACCCTTGAAAAGCTTATAATCCGAAGGGGAAATGAGATACAACATGCTGAGTGCATAATATCCAGGGTTTATATGCAATTTAAAGATTGTAAAGCACTTTATACATTCTATTACCTCATTTAATCCTCACAGCAACCCTGGGGAGGTAGGTGCTATTATTATCTCCATTTTACAGATTGAAGAAACTGAGGCAAGTGGAGGTTAAGTGACTGATCCAAGGTCACACAATTATTAAATGCCTGAGGCTGTATTTGAACATAGGTCTTTCAATCTCTGGGTCCAGCACTCTAGCCATCATGGCATCACCTGACTCCTTCTGTGTATGAGTCCATGGTTCTCTGAAGTCAGTCGAAGATCCCAGATCTGGAGCTGGAAGAGATCTCACAGGCCATCTGGTCCACCCCCCTTCATTTTACAGATGAGGAAAGTAAGCTCCTGGAGGTGAAGGCTCAAGGTCACATGGCTGGCAAAGGTAAAGCTGGGATTTGAACCCAGGATCTCTACCTTCAAATCCAGAGAATGTGGAGGGGGTCTGACAGCATTTTTAAAGCTTTCTCTCTTGGCCAGGAAGCCTTGCCCTATCATATGCCCAAGATCAAGCTCCTCAATTAAAATCAAAAGATTCCTCCCTCCTCCTAGCAGCCTGCTCAGACTACCTGGCCTATGGCCCTTCTCATCTGAGCATCTGAATGACATGGACTTTGAATTTCACGTCAAATAGTCACACTTTGGTGTGATTTGGTGGCACTTCTGTTCTCTGTCCTACTGTGTCCCTGTCTAGACTGGACTCTCCCTGAGGGTAAGGACCCTGTCTTTTATTCCTTTGGGGGTTCAGTGCTTGGCATGGTGGCTAAAAATAGCAGGTGTCCCCCAAAATGTTTGCTGAATGAAAGGAAAAAACCCTCTGTGATACTTTGAGAAGACACCTACTCATGAACATGCCTGCTGCATTTTCTAACTAATTAGAGAAAGCTGGGGAGCTGAGTGAAGGCTTTGTTTAGTCCTGTAGCTATAAGCAAAGCCATGGTTTCCTTGGTTAACCCTCCCCAAGTCCTGCTGGTGAGCTCACTCATGTTTCCTCTCCTTGCCACTGCTCTCCCCTTTGAGCAATCCCCAGGGGCTCCTTGGCCACCTCAGTGCTTGGCAAGGGGCTGCCTGGTCTGTGCCTTTGCCAGTGGGCAATGCCAGGGCTCCAGCTGGCACTGGAGGTTCTGTCTATCCAAGAGAAAGTTGTCAATGTGCTCTATTATATGAGAGACTGGTACCTGGGTGGCCAATGGATTCCCCCAGGGACCCATGCCCTTCCTCCCCCTCTGTGGGTGTGCTTGTTGAAGTGAGTGCCACCTGCCAAGTTCAGAGGAGGGACTCATTGGCAGGCACCTACCCCCATCTTGGGGTGGGCATCCACTGGCACCCAAGTGGAGGAGTCCTATTTTTCTGATGGACAAAATGCAGTATTTTGGTGCCAGGGGATTGAGATGGGTTTTTTTTTAAAGTCAAACAATCAACAATCCTTTATCAGGTGCTTACTGTGTCCTGAGTATTATTCTAGACACTGGAGGCATATAGACAAAAACTGAACAGCCCCTGCCCTCAAGGTGCTTACATTCTATCTGGGGGGAGGTGGACAACATAGTTAACATTTACACAGAGCTGTAAGGTTTGCAAAGCACCCTTTATATATTATCTTATCCTCAGAACAAGCAGGTGGCACTGTTACATTCATTTTACAGATGAGGAAAATGAGACTGAGAGAAATTCACTGACTTGCTTTGGCATCTAGTTTGAAATATCCACAAAGTAACACTGGATCTCAGGTGAGAAACTAAGGCTGGATATGTAGATCTGGGAATCACCTATGTGGACATGCGAGTTGAGCCAATGAGAGCTGATGAGATTATCAAGAAGGAGAAGAGGACCCAGGGCAGAACTTAGTTACTCAGTAACTCAGTGACTGAGGGATTCATGGGTGAAGATCCAGCAAAGGAGACTGAGAAAGAACAGTCAGAGAGGTAGGAGGAGATCCAGTAGAGAGACATTTCAGAAAAGCCAAGAGGCAGCTAAGTGGTACAGTGGATAGAGCACCAGCCCTGGAGTCAGGAGGACCTGAGTTCAAATCTAGCCTCAGACACTTGACACTTACTAGCTGTGTGACCTTGGGCGAGTCACTTAACCCCATTGCCTAGCAAAAAAAAAAAAACCAAAAACTTCCAAAAACCTAGGGAGATGAGAAAATCTAGGAGGAGCTGGTGATCATCAGTGTCAGAGGCTACAGAAAGGTCAAGAAGGAGATGGAGAGGGTGTCATAGTGCAGGGAAAAGAGTAGCTAAGCACTAGTGACACCCCAAAAGGGCAAAAACCTTCCCTGCCCTTGAGGAGCTCACATTGCAGGTATGAGAGGGGAGGCATGGCCAATAGACAAGAATGCAGGGTCCGTCAGCTCTAGAGGTGACTTCCAGTGGTTCCACATAGGACCAATGACCACAATGGCAGGCATTTATGTAGCACTACAGAGGTTCCTCAATACTTTACATATGTTATCTCATTTGAGCCTTGTGATAACCATATGAGGTTGGTACTATTATTATTATTCCCTCCATTTTACAGAGGAAGAAACTGAGGCAGAGAGATGGTCAGTGACTTTTCCAGGGTTACACAGCTACTAATTGCCTGAGGCAAGATTTGAACTCAGATCTTCTGACCTCCAGGCCCAGCCCTTTATCACCTGTGCTACCTATTTGTGACATTCTGAAGCACCTTATTCATGTAAGTTTGGCCAATGACCGAGTGGGTCAGGACACCCTCAAACACAAGGCAGCCCTACACTCAGTCCCTGGCAAGATTCCACATCCCCTCCCCAAGAGCTCAAGAATTTTTCTTTCAAAGCCTGTTCTTGTATGTTTCATGGTCTTTCCCCAGTCACTTCCCGCAGGAGACATATCTAATATTTTTTTTAGCTCAACATTGAAAGCTGTTTGGAATCTAGCACGGTACCTGGAACATAGTAAGTGTTTCATAAATGTTTATGGAACAAATGAATGAATAGAATCCAAGGGTCATGGGTCATTAGACCTAGAAAGGACTTTAGAATTCATCTAGCCCAAGACCTCATTAACAGTTGGTTTTCTAAATGTGAGACTGATCCTTGTCTGGTGACCAGTAAGTGGAAGTGTCACTAGAAGAGTAGAATGTAATGGCTAATGATAGATAAATGGATGGAGCATTTATTAAGCACCTGCTGCATGCTAGCACTGGGGATTCCACCCTCCCCAATCCTGCCCAGTTATATTGGGCTGCGTAATTAGGTCAAATTCAGGGGTGGCTGCTGGCAATGGAACCTTCTAGGCTGGGGAAGGGGCAGAGCTGCTGGTCTTTCTTACCTCTGCAGGTCCTGTTGTCTGTATGGAGGATGTAGCCAATGCGGCAGGAGCAGTAATACCCTCCAATGTAGTTATGGCAGTAGTGATCGCAGGCCAGCTCCTCGTCACTCTTCTCTGTACACTCGTCCACATCTGGGCGGGGGGGAGGATGGAGGGAAGGGAATCAGTTGTGCAGGAGGAGCTGGGGGGGGGCAGTAAAGCAGACAGAGGTGACCAGCCTCCAGAAGCACATTGTACTCTAGGAGGAGAGGGGAGCTTCAGGAAGTCACACAGCCCCCATGCCTCGACTTACCCACCGCCATGTAATGAGCATCAAAGCCAGTGAAGCGTTCCTCATTGGAGAAATCTGATCGGAAAGTAAAGGCCATGAAGGGGCCTGGGGAAAGGACCACCTGCTGGCCGGGGGCTTGCTCTGTATCTGTGGTCTCCCTCCCACAGAAGAGAGCCAGCACCTGGTCCTCAGCTTCTACCTAAAGGAGAGGCAGGAAAAAAGAGCAGGTCAGCCTCGACCACCGACTTGGATCGAGAACCCTTCATGGCTCTGGAACACTTTCCCTTCAGCTGCTTGGGGAGGTTGGTAACGTGAATATGACACAGACATTTTATAGATGAGGAAACTGAAGCTCTGGGAAAACCCCCAGCACCATCTAACATTTCAACCTAAATCCTTTAATGTTTGCCAGACACATTATATCCATTAGCTCATCAGACTCTCACAATGGCCCACAACTCTAGAGACTATTATTATATCCGTTTTACACGTGATGAGACTGAGTCTCAGAGATACAGTGAATGGTTTAGGGGCTATCATCATGTGCAGCTTGCAAGAACCTGAATTAAGCATTTCAAACTCTAGGACTAGGGTTCTGTCTATTGACTGTGCCTTGGAGGTGATGTCATGTGGCTAGGGATGTGAAGGATTGGGATGGTTAGAAGAGTTTGGGATGTTAGTATTCTGGGAATCTATTCAGGCTGCTGTCAGTGTTGTAGGGCAACTGAGGCTGCTAAAGAAGCTGCCTATAGTTCCACAAATGAGGAGCAGATGGCTGGGTGGTTCGGTGGCTAGAGTTCTGGGCTTGGAGTCAATAAGACCTGAGCTCAGATGCTGCTCCAGACACTGGCTGTGTGACTCTGAGCAAGTCATTTGTATTTAATTTTCCTCATTTGTAAAATGGACACAGTAATACCACCTCTCTCCCAGTTCCTAATAGAATAACTTAGGTTAAGTGCTTTGCAAATCTTAAAAGGATATATAAGTGCCAGCTCTTAGTATTCCCCTCAGAGAAGGGATTCCTCATGCCAGGGAGGTGTCCACAGTTTTACAGGAAAGTGGTCTTTTTTAACAGGCAATCTGCAAGTGCAAAGGCCCTGCTATTTGATTCGATTCCACACAGCACAATTTTACTAAGTGCCTACTATGTGCTAGGCTGGTTACTGGGGTTTTAAGACAAAATCCAGAGTCCCTGCCATCAAGGAGCTGACTTTCTACTGAGGCAGGCCCAATGTGTGCACAGATAAGTAGATATGCAATGTATGTGTAGGAATGGAGTGGAAGGCACCCACAACTGAGGGAATCAGGAAATGTCTCATGTTGGAGGTGACTGAAATTGAGCCTTGAAGAGAACTGGGGGGTCCAAGGAGCAGAGGAAAGGAGAAGGGTGCCCAAGAATGGGGCACAGCCTTGCAAAGGTGCAGAGGCGGAGATGGGATGTTTGTAGGAACAGCAGAGAGGCCAGTCCGACCGCATCAAAGGATGCATGTGTGGACCTTGCAGACTGGACCCACATTGTGAAAGAGCTTCCATTTTGTGTCAAGGCAATAGGAAGATATAGAAGCTACCCATCAGGAAGGGGAGTGACATGATCACACTGGGCTTTAGGCATCTTGTTCTGATGGCTGTGTGTAGGAAGGATGGATTGGATAGGGGAGAGACTTGGGATGGGAGACCCCTTAGGAGCCTTGGTAGTTCAGGCATGTGGTGATGAGGGTCTGAACCCAATGGGTCATTAGACCTAGAAAGGACTTTAGAATTCATCTCATCCAAGACCTCATTGTAAAGACGTTTGAGCTCTTGATGTGAACCAGGGAGCCTGAGAGGCCTCAGAGGGGACTCTGCATCTTAAAGGGAGCAATGCTGTGGAGGCAGAACTGACAACTGGATTGTCGATGGATTGGATATGGGACAGGGAGTGGTGTGAGGGAGAGAGAAGAGTCCAGGATGATTCCAAGATTCAAGTTTGAGGGGCCAGGAAGTTGATGGTGCCCTTGAAAGAAACAGAGAAATCTGGATCCTTCCTTGGCAGTCCTTAAAGAAAGAGTTTTCCTGTGTGTCTGGGTTACAGGCTAAGGGTGGAAACCTGTCCTTGACAGATGGATGTACCTCCTTAGGAGCAGCCAGAAGGGCTCTGTGTGAGATCTGAGGGCCCTATAAATCATTAGCTCAGGCTTCAGCTAAGCGGAATAAACAAACCCAGGAGGGCAAACCAGAGTGAATCCAGCTGCCTTGATTTGCCTTTCCAAGAAACCAAGACCAAATTTGAAATGTTTGCAAGAAGGAGGATCTCAAGATTTAGAGTGGCTTAGCGATCCCTTGGTCCAGCCCAGTGATGTATAGAAAAGGACGGGAGGCTCAAGATGGTACAGGAGCTGTCCAAGCCAACACAGGTCATCTCCTGAGTACCTTGTGGGCACAGGGCTCTGTTCTGTTTGCTTAACTCAAGCCAGAATTGCCTGGATGACCAAACTCACAGAACATTGTAACTGAAAGCTAGAAGGGAGAGAGCTCAGAGTGGAGATGCTGGGGCTGGGAGGGAGCTGGTCAACCTTGCTTTATAGAACAGGCTCTGACAAAGGAAGTCACTTGCTTAAGGCCATGCAGCTCATTGGTGGGATCAGTCTGTTTGCTTGAAAACATCAGCTGGCCTTGCTGCAGGGCTTTAAGGCTTGCAAAGGGCCTCATCAGATGGCCTCTTTCTTTGTGGCCAGTCTCACAGCTGTGTAATCATGTCCTAGGCATCTTCCATATGCGCCCCTCTTTCTTGAGCATCTGTTTCATAATAGACTAGTTTGCCACCGGTTCTGTGACTTGTGTTCTAAGTCTGTCCAATAACTGCTCTGGGATTCTCAAAGAAGAAGCCACTGGGGTGCTAATGGCCAGTCAGGGACTCTACATGATACTGACATTGTCCTTTATGGGTGCTCCTGAGGAGGTGGCATGGGTGGGCAGATGAGTCCGTGAGAATTTCCCTGGTGGGGCTGCCCTGGAGGTGTTTGGTGCTTGCCAGGACAATGGCTCCAAAGTGCTGAGACCCAGGAGGTAGGAGCATTCATTCCATGGCGCACCTTTGGATACAGTTTCAGGTCTTTGAAGTCCATGAGCTGGCAGCGATTTTCCTGGCTGTCTGAAGCCATCACTGAGCTTGTAAGACTTCAACCTTCCAGTCAGGTAGGACCTGTCCAAGCCTGCCCTCTGCTGGCGACCTCTCCAAGAACACAGGATCTCCCCCACATCTGGGAGCAGGCTGGAATCACAGGTCTGGAGCTAGAAGGGACCGTAAAGAGGCCCTCCAAGGTACCCTCTTATTTTGCAGGCCAGGAAACTGAGACTCAGAGAAATAAAATGACTTCTCCAAGGTTTCTTTTCTAGTAAGTGGCACAGCTGGGGATTTCAATCCAGGTCCTTTCACTTCCAAACCAGTGCTCTGGTAGAGTGCTGGGCACTTGGCTGATATCTGCTGACCTCATTGACTGACCTACCCAACTGCCATGACTTCCTGTCTGCCCCCAGGCAAGAACTACATCTGGAATCTTAATATAGGCCACGTGACTGCCCATCAACCACCAGTAAATTAGCCAGCTAGGCTTGTTTGGACACTTCTTTCAACACAATGGTATGTTTTGTTTATTTAAGTGACAGTTGCTAGGTCTTCATTAGGGGTTCTCAGCAAGCCAAAACAGTGTTTAAAAACAATCCAATCTCCTTCTCCAAATTAGCCTGGGGCGAGAAGAGGAGAGAGAGATGGAGAGGAGAGGGAGAGAGGTAGGGAGGGAGAGGAGAGAGGGGCTTCTTGAGAACCTCCCCTCCCTGGGGGAATCCAATCCCCCTGCAGTTTGGACTCTGTGCTGGATCTTCTTCATAACAAAGGTGAACACATCCAAAGCCTCAGGGGATCATGGGTCATGATCTGATCCACAGTGTGTCCTGATCTATGGGATAATAAGCTACATCTCAAGAGCAAGTTAAATAAAACCTTTAAACCATTTTTTCCTCCTTAAGTGTTCAAAGTAATTAATAAGAGATCACCAGTCATAGCTACCACATGTTGCACCTGTCAAAGAATCATGTGGTTTACTCTTAGTGAGTCAATAAGCATTTTATTAGATGCCTACTGTGAGCCAGGCACTCTGCTAAACAGTCCCTGCCCTTGAGAAGTTGGAAATAACACAGAGGAACTGGTTCAAATCCTGGCTTTGTCACCTACCACATACAGGACCTTGGACCTTAGTTTTCTCATCTCTGAGATAAGGGTGTTAGTCTAGATGGCCTCTGAGATCCCTTCCAGATCTAAAGATGGGATCCTATGACCTCTCTGGGCTTCAGTTTCCCTTTCTGTAAAAATGAAGGGGCTGGTCTAGATGGCCTTTGAGGTCCTTTCATGTCTGGCTCTAGATCTCCAGGCATGGCATAACTGACATGCATGGGAAACACCCTGCTGGAATAGAACCTTTAAGATGAAATTTTGCTTTATTGAGTCAAATGCTTTTTCATAGTCAATGAACAAGAAATCCACTAGGATCTTGTACTCTGTACCTGTCAGTCAACGGCGTGATTGCAAAGATGTGTGATCTGCCTCCTGCTCAGAGGGTCCCAGTCACTCTGGAAAAGAGGTGTTCTTCATCCACTTGGGTTGTCTTGTGTGAACTCCTCTGAGTGATTGTGGATCTCATCCAGGACATCTGTCTTGGTGATGCCGCCAGGCACAAGTATTGGGGATGAAGCCCTAGTTTAGGGGAAGGGATAGACTGGGTGCCGTCTTGAACCTTCTGTGTTAACATTACTAGTCCATTAGGGCAGACCAGTGATCAGGGCGGGGGAGGGGAAACCTATGTGATTTTGACTCTTAAGGACAGAAGAGGGATCTTTGCCTGGTGGAAGGGCATTGTGGGCTTGGACATCCCTCCTGCACAGTGGACTATTCATGTGCCCAGAGGTATGTGGCTCCCTTTTGGGAAAGGCACCGGCCAGGCTACAGTGGCCCTGGAAGTCTTATCTCCCTCCCATGGACCTGATCCCAGTGAGGACATGGAACAGGGCCGGGCCTCTGGCAGTCACGTAAACAAAGAGGTTGCTGGTCCCGTCAGGCTCTGCTGCCTCTTCTGTGAAGTGTATACTTTCCCCCAGATCATTTACAATCCCAGAGCAGCCTGGTAATTAAATCCTGACTCCTTGTTTGGAGAATTTGCTTCAGGG